GCTCCCCAGCCTGGTCCGGGGAAGGGGGGGAGGGCTGGGGGGCATCGGGTGGCTGGCTCGAGCCGTGCCAGGTGCAGGGTCTGCTAGCTGGGTGTTGGCAGGCTTGCACCTGGCACGGGCATCGTAGCCAGTCCGTGCACCTTTAAGGGGTCCGGGCCGGGAGGGGGGCAGACGAGTTTCCCTGGTGTTGGCCAAAGTGACCACCAGGGAAAGCTGGGGAGGGCTAGCCTCCCACTAGTTCGAATTAAGGGGCTACACACCCCTTAATTCGAACTAGTAAGTTCGAACTAGGCTTAGTCCTCGTAGAATGAAGTTTACCTAGTTCGAACTAAGAGCTCCGCTAGTTCGGATTAAGTTCGAACTAGCGGAGCGCTTGTGTAGCGCCTATCAAAGTTAATTTGAACTAATGTCCGTTAGTTCGAATTAACTTTGTAGTGTAGACATACCCTAGGTGAGCAAGGCAAACAGGATTTGACTGAGCATTTGGAACTAGGCTAGAGTAGATAGGGAATATTTAGAAGGAAGAAATTCATCCTTAATGTATTGAATTAATGACTCATTGGAATATTGCAAGATATGGATTAAACAATAATTACTAATGGATAAGGAGATTAACATTTTCATAAATGACAAGCTATTGATATAGTAATTGTATAAGGGTTAATCAAATGCTTATTGTTAATGTGATAGTTATGAATTGAACTCTTATATTTGTAGTGATTTATTAAATTACAGGAAAAAGCACGTGGTGCAGTATATATATATAAAATGTGTGTATTTTCTTTTTAACACTGGATATCTTGTTTTTACATTAGTATTTGGGGGCTGAACAAGCAGCCCTTACTCACAGAAATAGCTTAGCTTCCATGGTTTTACTGCTGTGAATTCCGTGTTGGCTTACGACTCTGACTTGAACCTCCCAAAGCAATGACATTTATTAACATTAAGGGTACAACTGACGTCATATCTACAGTAACATATTTGTTTGCAAGCACTTTATTTACCATGCAACTATTTTAATGTCAAGTCTAAGATGGAAGCGAGGGGAAAAGAGAAGAGGCAGTGGGAGCACCATGCTTTCACTTATTAATCTGTTAGGGTTCTTTTTTTTTTTTTAACTATGCTTTTAAGTTTATGAAAAGGTCATTCAGAGCTCTGGTTGGAAATTGTTTGGTGGGAAATTTTAACCAATAAACAATCTAAACGATAAACATGCAATGAAATATGTGTAAATACCCGAGATATCTGAAATATACCTGGGCCCCTATCCTGTCAAGCGATCTGTTTAGTTTGATTTAAAAATACCTTCTTCCCTGCACACTAAATTCTGCTGTGGCCTGAGGCCCTTGTTTCCCATGAATAAATACTCCCGTAGACTCAAAGTGATTTAAAAAGAGACTTTGATATCAGAGAAACTTTCAAATATATTAGATATAAATAAAAACTCATTTACCTTTCACATGGTTTTCATTATTTATCTTGCTATGTTTCCTAATTAACTGAAGGTATTTGAGTTTAAACAAGACTCTGCCTCTTTCCTACTCTTCCTACTCGATTCTGCAGAGAAGTTAGAATGCAGCATTTGTGGTATCATCTTACTTTCCATGGCAACAGTCAGTGATGTTAGAAACACTGGATTGTAACTCAGAGAGGGCAAACCCCAAAGGCTTAGAAGGTCAGTTCAGACACTTACCTGAACCTATGAATTTCCCCAGTCTGGCCCACATAAGTTTTCCCCCTTTACTTACTCTTCCTTACCCTGATGACTGACTTCCAGGGTACGTCTAGACTGCAAGCTTCTTTCAAAAGAAGCTTTTTCCATGTTGTCCGCCTCCTTCTCCTCCTCCGCCTTGACCTCTGGCCAGGCGACGATGGGTGTGTTGAGGCCGGAGTTTATGATGTGTGGGGAAATGGCTACCCCACCCCCTAGGATTTGGTGCAGCTCCTGGTAGTAAGGGCAAGTGTGGGGTCCTGCCCCAGAGCGTGAGCTGCACTCTCTGGCCCTCATGTATCCATGGCAGAACTCTTTGACATTACTTCAGACATGTTTCAAGGTCTGGGGTGGGTGTCCACGCTCCGCCAGGGAGTCGGCCATCCAGCCACAGATGTCTACATTGCAGTGCTTGAAGCGGAGATCCTGGAGTGTTTCCTCTTCACCCCACAGATTGAGGAGGTACAGGATCTCCACTCTGGACCAGGAAGGTGCCTGTCTCTTGGTCCCCCTGGGTGGGTCCTGGGAGCCCTGGTGCTGCTCCCTGCAAGGGCCAGGAGGGCCTTGGAGGCTTGTGGCTCCACCATGGGTGAGCAGGCCTGTAGCAGGGATAGTTACGCCGTCAGGTTGCTGCTCCCAGGCCTGTTTCCTGCCACATGGCTTGTCCAGGGTGCCTGCAGCTTTAAGAGGGGCCAGGAGACAGAAACTATAGAGTTGTGATTACTTTGGACGGAGTGTCCACCAGGGCACCTGTGTTATTTCCTTGAGGCCTCTTCTTTCAAAAGAAAACCCTCTTCCTCTTCAACAGACACCTTTTTCCAAAAGAGCTCTTTTAGAAAAAGTTGTTTTCCTCATAGAAAGAGGTTTATCAATGTCGGAAAAATCCCTCTGTTCTTTTGATTTTCTTTCGAAAGAATGCAATTGCAATGTGGATGTAATTGAAGTATTTTTGAAAAAAAGGCTGTTTTTCCGAAAAAACAATGCAGTGTAGACATACCCTAGGAGACTTTGAAAAAAGACTTTATGAAATAAGTTTCCTAAGGCCCCAGGATCCAACCAGGGAAGCAGATATGATTCCAAATAAACTAAAATGAGGCCTTAATGGCATCATACAAACCTCAGCACAAAACTGTTATTCCTTTTGCTTGACTGCAAAAAAATCCTCTAACAGAGTGAAATGGAGGGTGTTTTTTTTTTTTTTTTTTTTTTTTTTTTTGGCAATACCCTGAAAAGATTCCCAAATCAGATTCTAAATTTATTTAAGAGGGCAAGACACAAAACACACCCTATCACATCTTGTACCCCCACTTCACAGTTTAACCAATCTGCAGGCTGAAACCACTGTTGCTCTGACTGAGGCAGCTGCTCTCAAAGGAACACCTCTCCTGCAACCCCCACCTGACCAAAAGGCGAGCATGAGAGTTGCACCCAGAGTCCCTGCACACCCCACCCTGCCAGCTGCTCCATCAACCTGGGGAAAGAGGAAAGGGCCAAACTACTGCTTTACTCAACGGGAGTCCTACATCTGCTATAGCCCTCTTCTCTCTTTGCTGATGTCTGCCAGAATAGTGCCAACCTGAACCTGTGTTCCCCTCTCTACTTTTACCATCACATATAGAAGGCCTGCACCCTCACACCAGTTACGGGAGAACTGCCAATTCTGAGACATCTTAGACACACTTGTGTATCACTGTGCTGTGAAGGGCTAAAATGGATTAACAACAAGACCCCAAAAGTTGTAAAGTGATAGGGTGCATCTACACAGCACCCTAAACTCAAAATAAGATACGCAATTTGCACTATGCATATTGCATATCTTATTTTGATTGTATTTCAAAATAGCTTATTTTGAAATTTGGCACATGTACACAGCCCCAAATTTCAAAATAACACACTATTTCAATACATCCCTTAACCCTTGTGGAACAAGGGTTACAGGGATGCTGGAATAATCTGCCCATTATTTCAAAAAATATTTTGAAATAATGGGTGTGTTTAAAAGATGTGGAGTAGCTATTTCAGGATACCTCTGGCATCCTGAAATAGCCCCACTGTCTAGAGGTACCCATAGAGAAAGAGAATTAAACACAATAAACATAAAAATGTCTGCCAGTACATTCATGGATCGGAGAAACTTCAGAGACCATGGATCATATTAAGCTCAGAGATTATTTGATTACTGAATTGTGCCCAACATATATAAGAAACAGGGAAATCAAACTCTAAAAATTCAGTGTGGGAGTGTCACAAAATCTACTTATATTGAAAAAATATGTGCCACAAAGAGACATTTCTCTTGGCTATCCTTTGCTTGGGATACAAAATGTTGCCTATTAGGAAAGAAATTAGATTAAAAAAGAAGTGAAATATTATAGCTATGTATACTCTTCCCTATAATTATTGCTAAAATAATTAGATATCCGAAACAATGTTAATATATTATACATATGTGCTATGGAAATCGACTTAATAAACTAATATTTCTTATGTATATCATTTTTAGACTGCAAAGAGAAGTTTAAAGATAAAAGAATCTTGCTCCTAAAGAAACAAATTAACTTCTCTTTAATATTGAAGGTGTATATTATTTAAGATAGTCCTGTATTCTTGTATTTTCATGAAAAAGGTCAAAACGTTTCATGTACTTATAGGAAATATACATAAAAGAGCCCTACACAGATACAAAATTAGTATCCACATTTGTATCTAGGTCTGCAAAAATGATCCATGGATATCTACAAATTTGGTTCTAGATCCAAAATTTGTATCCACATTCACATATATATATATATATATATACAGTAATTCCTCATTTAACACGTGCCCGCTTAACACGTTTTCGCGATAGCACAATTATTTTTTTAGGAAACATTTTTTTAATACACGACCGTTCCTGGAATAACACGATTTCTCCAGCCGGCCCGTTGCCGGCGGCTGCGCGGGGCTTCCCCCGCCTCCCTGCAAAGCAGTGGAGGGTTTGACACTCACCGCACTGTTCCCCACTGACTCACCCTTGCTGGATGCCTTGCCCCCTCTCCTCTGCCCCCGCTTGCAGGCCGGCAGCTGGGTTTCCCCAGTCAGCCCCTTGCCGGCAGCTGTGCGCGGCTTCCCACGCCTCCCTGCAAAGCGGAGGAGGGTTCGCCACTTGCCGTGCCGTTCCCTGGCGACCACCCTCCCCTCCAGTCGCAGTGCAGGTCCTGGCAGACCTGTCACAGGGGCATACTTCCAACCCAATCCCTCTCTTCCCGTTTCCTTCCCCAGAGCCAAACACCTCCCCTCCCTGCTGTAACCCAGTCCCCTTTCTCCCCCAACTTTATGTCCTGGTTCCAACAGACACCACCGCTTGAAACACAACCCCCACATTTTCCATTATTTTCAATGGGAAAACTGACCCCGCATAACACGTTTTCACTTAACACAATCATTTTCTGAAACGTATCTATAATGTTAAATGAGGAATTACTGTAAACAAAAGTGAGCCACGGATATCCATATTCACACATGTAGATGAGGATACCTGTGAATATAAAGCAGACATCTGTGGATTTGAAGGGCTCTATCAATATGTATCACAAATCTGTAGCATTTTGATTTTATATGTCCAGTTTATTTACAACTAAATCAATCTTTTTAAAGTGTGGCATTACTGGATTATGAATTAGCTAAGAGTAAATAAAGAATGAATATATTTTGGAAGGGTGGAAAAAGACCATGGAATTGATTAAATTTCTTTGAAAGGTGAAAGTGTATTTTATAATTTTATACAGGGAATATCATATGCCTCACCTGGGCAGAATATTTTGAGACATCCAATTGTGAAAATTGTGGCATCACATCACATAACTCTTTAATCCTGGTGTATCTTTCACATTAATGAAAAATGCCAAGTTCCAAGACATGCAAAATTCAGTGTCTATTCTTGTGCATAAATTTGTGAGTTGGGGCGCCTTTGTGAATTTCACTCAAAGTGATTCAGAATACTTGGTTTTGTTCAAAGAAAAGTTTGTATGAAGGATTTTCCACAACCAGGCAAGAAGATAAGGGTATTCCTGCTATGTCTACCATTCAGAGAATTTGAGCCATTAGATGAAGAATACAAACTTAAGTTACTGTTGCAAGAAGAAAAAGACAAGGAAATGTAAGGTTTAGAACTGGTTTAAATAAAAACGGGCTTACCTTCAAAAACATGAAAATAATATTTAATATTTTTCATAATTTCCATCAACATGGCCATAATTTTTAGCTGTTTTCAATACACAAGAAAATTCAATCACTCTGTTAAAATTTTGAATAAGTTTTGCAATAAGTTTTCCATCTGTGGATATGTCTACTCTGCAACCATGGGGAGTGATACAACTCACACTGACATATCTGGGCCAACTTTAATCTTGCTAGCTCGGGAACCAGAGCCAGGATGCCACAGCAGTATGCACTATCATTCAGGTTGCTCCCCAAAAGTAATTAACCCTTGTTTGTCAGCCGATGGTCAGGGCAGTGCGTGGTATGTGTGTGTGTGCGTATCAGGGGGTGGAATGTAGCCAGACAGGAACCCCCCCTGTAACATCCACCTTGCTTGCCTGGAGCATATCCGGGCCTCCTGTCAAGGCTTCAAAGACTATGCTGATTTGACTATGCTTCAAAGACTATGCTGCTCTGTGTGCCCTGTATGCTCCAGGCAAGCAAGGTGGATGTTACAGGGGGGGTTCCTGTCTGGCTACAATGTTCTGGGTACTCTTGTACAACTCATACCCAAATGTGCATGGCCACAGTTGAATTAAAGCTAATTTGGGTGTGTCTGAGTAAGTTGCAGTCACACCTCATGATTGCTACACCGACA